TTAGCACTTTTTCAAGACTTTTACAACTTAGGATCTCAAGGCTTTTTATTCATTTTTTGTGCTATTTCAAGCACGAAAGTATGGGGTATTTATAGGCCCCCAATGACTTCAAAAATGGAGCCAAAAAGTATCTCATCCTCGGTGTTAGGGGTATTGGCGGTACCATCGCTAGTACTGGGTGGTACCATTGCCTGCACCCTTAACAACTGGCGGTACCATCGCCCAGTCTGTGCAGTACTATCGCTTGACAGAGCTTGGAAGACCAAGCTTTGGCGGTACCACCGTTTGGCAATATTAACTACTAGCAGTACTACCCCCAGTCTGAGTGGTACTATCGCCATATAACTTGGAAAAAGTGTACTTCACTTTTCCAGCTCATAGGCGGTTCCATCGCTTGGTCTGATAGTACCATCGCCTAACCTAACCTTGGGTTATTGAATGGGTCTCCTTATGAGCCCATCTTAACTCCCGATTAGGCCCAATGGGCCCCTAATTGAGTTAGTAGGGTTTCACCCAAAATTAACTCAATTTACGACCTAACTATGATAATTAAGACCTAAACAATTACAGGACAAGAAAACTATGTTGTCCGGCATATCATTGGTTCATTCGAACTCCCATCGAACTTCCGGTACGTTGTTTGAACCTTTGGCGTATTGCTCGATCTTTCGGTATGTTGACTCCCGCAACACTTGATCCTGACGCAATGTCCAATTCTTTGGCCCGATGCTCGATTTCTGACTCCGACCCAACGTTTGACTCTTCTTGCTTTAATTGTTTTACCTTTTCTGATCAAAGTTAGTCCTGCATCACTTTCTCAAAGTATAGATTAGATCATGACTTAATCAATTGATTTCATCAGCAAAATCCGAGATTCAACATCAGGTACATTCATGATCAATCTCAATTTATCATATTCTTATGATAACACATGAGTATTGGATATCGTAGTGCTTATCACATCTGTAATTCGTTGCAGGTTCTGGTAAGACCTACGAGATTGGTGAGAGGCGAGATGGACCTCAAGATGGTTAATGGAGCAAAAGTTGCTCTAGCGGTTATTGGCGAGGTCACCTTATCTCTTCCTGGTGGAGCTATTATTGCATTGGATGCATGCTATTTTGTTTCTTTTATTATCAAAAACATTATTTCCATTTGATGTTTGATAGTTAGTGAATATAAATTAGTTTTTGAGAACAATGGTTGTTCAATATTATTAGATTATAAGATCATCATGAGAGGAACATTGTATAATGGTTTGTTTATGCTAAATACCACTCCACATATCATGAATGTAAGTGTGTCCAAGAAGAAACAAGATGAGGTGAACAATGCATACCTGTGGCATTATAAGCTAGGTCATACTCATAAGGGAAGAATTCAGAAGTTGTGAAAAGATGGATATCTAGATCCTTTCGACTATGAGTCATATGCAACTTGCGAGCCTTGCCTTCGTAGAAAACTGACCAACTCTTCATTTAGTGGAATTGGATAGAGAGCTATTGAGTTGTTATATTTTATACATAGTGATGTATGTGGTCCAATGTCAACTTAGGTCATAGATGGTTACTCCTACTTTATTACTTTTACTGACGATTTCTCTAAGTACGAACAAGTATACTTGATGAAGTATAAGTCCGAAGCCTTTGAGAAATTCAAGGCGTACTCAGCAGTAAGGGAACCTTTACACCCCACTTTTACAAGGTATCCCTCGTATACTTCCCTTAAAATAATCTCTAAGCTCAAGGAGGAAGGACTCAACTTTTTCACAGAGTTTTCACATTCTAAACCCTAACATTTTGCTATCTTTTCTTGCTCATTCAAGCAGGAATAGTTAGGGTATTTATAGACCTCAAATGATTTAAAAAATGGAGCCAAAAAAGGTCTCATCCCAGGTTTCTGGGGTACTGACAATACCACCGCCTATGCTGGGTGGTACCACCGCTTGGCTTTGGTGGTACTACCGTCAAGTCACCGAATGAGCCTTCCACTTGGCTCAACTCTGGCCCAATGAGCCCTTAATTGAATTGACATAGTTACACCCGAAACTAACTCAATTAGTCCTATAAACTACTTCGATCTAGACAAATGATTACAAAGCATGAATCATTTGTTGTTCGACATGTCATTAGTTCATCTGTCGCTTCGTCCGATCCTTCGGCGTATCATCCTCTCTTTCGATGTATTGCCCAATCGGCATGTTGACCTCCCGCAACTTCCGATCTTCTTGACGCAATGTCTGATCCTTCAGCCCGACGTCCAATCTTCTGACATGATCCACTTCGGCCCAACGTTTGATTCTTCCTGTTTCAATCGATTTGTCTTACCATGATCGAAGTTAGTCCTGCGTCACTCAAACGCTGATTAGATCATTACCTCATGATTTCATCATCAAAATTCGAGATTCAATAATCTCTCCCTTTTTTATGATGACAATCAATTGATGGTGGAGTTTAAACTAAACTCCCCCTATGTATATTCCATATCGAAATGAACCTTGAATTCATAAATGATAACCTTCTAGTTATAAAATTAAATTCAAGTCAAAGCATTTTTAATTAAGAATCAGTGATCATATGTAACGTATTATATCAAAGTAATCATACATCATATGTATATGCCATGGCCTTTTGCAAAGGAGATTGGAGGTGGGGTAAACCAACACCATCATCCACATGCCCAATAATTGCGCTCAGGTTAGATAAGATTCCATGAGAAACTCACTTGGCCTTGTTACTGTTAACTTGTTAGATTTACTACTTCGTTTGGATCAGCAGATAAATCCATCCAGTCTATAACAAGGATTTGAAGCCCTTGCTGTGTGTGTGATCTCTAGTGTGTTGTCTAATCTAAGTGGAGGAAGATAAAAGACACGAGATGTACGAGTTAATATATCATATGCTTAAGAAAGTTCCAAATAAGTTCCCATGATTTGTCATTAGATTATTGTGAAATTCCAGGTTACAGACAAAACAAGTACCATTTGGAATTCTTCATACCTACACAATATCTTGTGACAGACAACTCTATTAAGATCTTTGGCTATTTGCATTTAATAGAGTTAAGTTCGAAAGGTAAGTACTGCACATACAAAGGATCCATCAGTGCACTTCGCTAACCCAAGAAACCTGACTGAGTTGTATCCATGTAAAGACTGATCATAAAAAGTTAGCATTCTAAACCATGCACTGAGATGGAGCATTGTGATGGTGAGATTAAACTGACCAGCACAGAATAAAAAGAACAAAGTTTTAGTTTCTATAATGAAAATGATTGAAGGGGTGCTAATAACTTGTGAAATGTGTATGCTTTGATATTCATATGATGGAGTTGTGTGCATGCATCAAAACCAAATTTCAGTTGTCAGATATCATTACCGATTTGCTAGTAATTAGTTCCACAAATTCTTATACCAGCTTGGAAAAAGAATTTGTACATGTCATAACATGTTAAAACAATAATCACCATGATCTCATGAAAACTTTGGACGATTTTATGAGAAAACTTCACATTTTGCACTAGTCCAAATAGATAGACTTGATCGTTTAAGGTTGGGAGTCCATTTAGATGATTTATAATATTTTCAAGTAGATTTTAGGGTATTTTTTATTGTGATGATTGAAACATTATAAGAGGTTAAATTTTTATCCCTATTTGGGTGATATTTCTTATAAACTATTATAAATACTTATGAAACCTAGTATGATATATCAAATGATTTTTAGTATATTTGGATTTTGTTTGACTTACATTGTTTTCTAATAACATGATAGTATTTTTATTGAGGTTATGTAGTGAAAAACACTGCAAATGACATCATATTATGCATCTTTAGTTGTATCATTATGATATCAAATTTTTAGGCTTGTAATTAGTTTGATTGAAGTTAGGAGTTCATTATGATATCGTTATGCATCTTCCAGTATGCTTTACAATATTTTTGTTATGATGGCTAATAAAAACACTATAATAAACTAATTTTTTAATCCTATTTGGATGATATTATTATTAAATTATTATAAATACATAGTATGATATATCAAATGATTTCTAGTGTATTTGGATTTCTCAGTTATAGTCTTTTTAAATAATGTTATCGTGTGTTTTTAAAGTGTAAAGCTATTGAAAAATAGTATTTTTTTAATTGTTCATCTTTGATTATCGTTGGTCGTAGATCATTACAGCACTAAATTTTTAAGCGTGTAGTTGGTTTGACTGAGGTTCGGTGTCTATTCGAGTCATTTATAATATTTTTATTGTGATGATCAAAATATTATAAAAAATCATTTTTGATTCTCATTTGGATGACCAAACTACTATGTAAATCATATGAATCGGTCTATGAGGTATCTATGAAACCAGTGGGAAAAATATCATTGAGACTGCTAAGAGATACTTTCGGTATTATTCAAAATAAAAGAGAGAAACGTGAGAAATCTTTTAGGAAAAAAATAATAATAAAAGTGAGCCTTCTTCCGGAAAACGCCCGAAAACTTTAGCTGACTAACTGATTCCTTGTTTTGTGCGCTGTAGTAGTAGGGACTTTTAGACTTTGCAGCATCAGAGATTTCCCCTCTTCCCAACTCCTGTTTACTTAACAATGAGCATAAATATACGCCTATGACCAAAAATTCCATTTGGTGCCCGCAAAACATGGCTGCAGAAACTAAATCCTGTGAAGAAATGAATGCCATTTGCCCTTTACTTCCATTTGGTGCCCGCAAAACAGCATCATTTACTTCACTTGATCACCATCAATATGGTGGAAACAAATTTAAAAGAAAGTTCAGTTTCATTTGATGTAAAACAAGATATCTCATTCTTGGTTTGATCTAATTACAAAAAGTTATGCTCAGATCAACATCATTTCTTAGTCTAAAGTATATTAGAACACACAACAATAACAATAATTGCAAGCCATAATGAGCAGATTCAACATCCCACCTATCAGAAATCTTAAATACGGGAAGCAGGGATGATACCGCAATACCAACAAAACGTGATAATAACGAGAAAAAATAAATTGATCTTCTTGTTTAGCAAGCAAGTTTAGAGCGCATAAAAAACCTAGAACATATACAGTTCCACAAGTTGAAAGGATCTCAGTCCTTTTAGAGACAAAATCCCCCATAAATAAAAATTATCAAGCCTTGCAAAGAGCATCAGTCTTTTCCTACTGAAAGAAAGTAACCCTATCCAGCAACTAGTTCTGAGGAAGGAAAGTACATGTATAATTCTTCCCTGATAACGAGTCAAGCCTTTGTCAGGAAAACATCTCTACATGCGTCAGGGTGCAAGTCATCTAAAACTTCTCTTGATCCCGATAACTCAACAAGTGTAAGCAGTGCTTCAGTTTAATTTGACCAAGTGCCTACCTGCCAGAGAAACTGCTGTTAATTCACCAAGGCCAATAATGTATGAATACCTGAGAAGAAGCACAAAGCAAAAAGATTGGAACTAGGACACATACAACATTTACTGGAGATTAGCATGCTACAATACCTCAGGGAAGATTATTTTGATGTATTTGTCCAGAGACAACAATACAACAAAGTCTTTAAGAAAAGGAACACACCAAAAGATAAAAAATCGGACGCATGGCTGAGACTAGCATGCTAAACTACAACAGAATAGCATATATAAGAATCTGGAGAACCAAGGGCTGGAACCAAATTCAAGATTACATGTTGCTATTAGGCAATGAATTTAGAGATGCTCTATTGTCACATTGAAGCACAAGTTTGTAACATAAAAACAACCTGCATAATTTGACATATTAACTAGACTTCCAGATCACCTTTTTGTTTTATAGCTATTACAGCTTTGACAATAATAAGACACCGAACAAAGGATGCAAAAGAAACATATAGTAGCAAAAGCCAAAAAAGTTGAAATGTGGATTTTCATAGTACATAAACCAAGTATAACTACATATCATAAATATAACCAAAGATTCTAACTGTTAGAAATATCTTGACTTTAGTCTGACTGTGGGTAAAATACATTTCAGGAAGGCTGAAATTGGTGTGGTCATCTGACAGCGGACAAAAAACATTTTGGGAAGGGAGAAATTGGCCTACAAGAAGTCAGCAAGTCTCATTTCTCTTTCATTACCTGAAGCCTGGCAATGGTTGAATTCTCCCTAGCAAAGTAACTCCTAGAATTATATTTCCTTTTCCAATTTGTTCAACACATCCTTACAAATGTAATCAAACTAGCACACTGCAGATGCCAACCTCTGGAAGGTAACACATACTAAAAGAGCAATTTCCAAGAACATTGTTAATCCACTTCTTTTGCACCAAACACTCTGCAAATGGAGCTAACACCCCAAGTATTTTTTTATTGATAAGAACAATTTATGCTCGATACAACACAACCTCTGGACAGTAACACCTACTAAAATAGCAATTTCCAAGATCACTGCTAATCCACTTCTTTTGCACCAAACACTCTGTAAATGGAGCTAACAATCAAGTACTTTTGATTGATAAGAACATTTTATGCACCGAACACTCAATACGACCCAATCCATAAAACGAGAGGATCACACCCTCCATAAACTTATGATCCAGACATCTGTAATGCACAGAGCACAAAAATAATATTCATTGACAATAATTGAAAATACATACCACCAAGTCTCATCATTATTACTGGAGTAAACATCTAACTATACTTTTATTAAATATCAGATAACAATCTTCACCTTGCTAGAACCGAACACTTCTCAATCCTTAGCTCCCCAGCTACGCATCATCTGAAATATGTACTTTTCAGATCGATAGGGATTATCTTAGTAGAAACAAGAAGTCAAGAAATCTAGTTGGGTCTCATGCAATCAGCTAAAGATAAGAATTATAATGAAAAAAGAGCATAAATTAGAGTAAAAGATCTCACAAATTCATCATGAGAAAAGCACATCCATCAGTGCACTTTGCTGCATCGGAACTCGTCCGACTGCTCAGGATGAAGCAACCTCCTTATAGACTAAATTCATATCACATTCCCTGCTATTAGTCCATTACTAGGATCAAGTGGTGCCCGGCAACAGTAGAAATACGTCTTCCTATAGATGCAAGGAATATCTTTTAAGCTTGATTGACGACTACTAATCCCTTTCAAAATTGCCTACTAATAAAGACAATGTTGTTCAATCATCCATATATGTGTATATCAACAAGCTGCACAACCATGCAACAACATCCTTTCACATGCTCAAGCATCCAGCTTATGCATCATGGCACTTCTTTAAAATTTCATCATGTCAGCATAAAGAGAATCTAGGTTTTATGAGGCACCTAACACTCTATTGATCATCCAAATTGGATACAGAGTCCAAAAAAGTTATTATTGATTTACAATTCAGTCCTTGAAATTTACAATCATTTCTTCATTACATTGCAAACCAGTCCCTAGCAGTCTTAATGAGCAGGACCTTAGGCAGCCACGTGGAACTTGGTCTCACAGGCCGGACCACATGGAGTTGGCCTGTCTGAGCTGAAGTGCATGAAGTTTAGACCACCCCCGTACGCAAATGCTTAAATTGGTAAAGGACAACTTGTATATTCCAGTGCTTAAATTGTGAACAAAACATTGTCAATACGGAAAGTGTGGTTTCCTTCATAAATGTAAGAGTTACAACTTCATTCTCAAGAAGACAGTCAGCTTCAAACTATCATGGTGGCAACCTGGTATTCATTAAGGTTTTGCATTTATAAAGAGAGAAATTTCAACTGAATTGACCGATCAGCAAGAGGAAAGAAGTGGTTCAAACTAATCAATTAAGAAAGAGAACAAAGTTTGATAAACAAAATATACAAAAAATTGAAACCCAACCTCATTTCCCTCTTTTGGGTTTTCAGTTTGGTTTTGGATAGGAGAGACTTTAGTAAATTTATATAAAAGGTGACCAACCCTTGCCCTAAATCAAAAGCCTCATCATCCAGCTCAAAATCACCAAAGCATCCTACCGTACCATCCAAAAGAATCCTACTTCTTATCATTTGAAAAATTAACCAAAACTCACAGACAAATCAATTCAAAACTTCAGGTGTCCAATAACCTACATAAGTCTGATATCTTCCAGTAGACTTAAAACGAATGGGACAAGAATAACAATTCCATGCGGCGTCTACACAAGTGATTATCAACAAGCAATTAACTCTATCGGCAATATCATCGCAAATCTTCTCAACATTCTTCATTTTCTTACTACATATAAGCATCCAAACTCATCTTGCATTCAAAGAAAACGGAGTAAATGGCAGGAATTATTTAGTTGCAAACTGTAGATCATGTTATGCAGATAGTGGAAAATTGGAACCTGGAAACATAACTTGCTGGTGCAAAAGCTTATGCTATGCATTATGCATTTCCACGATCAAAGTGCAGTTCTGTTTTTGGGGGCTCCATTATACAACTCAATGAGTTCTGGATACTCCTTGTAGCAGTTGACGAACTTCTCCAGAAATTGTTTCTCTGAATATTTCAAGTATGAAAATATACTAAGGTTACTGATGCAAACTCCCCTAGACTTCAGGCCTGTCACAATCCGATGCCTTGGCATCAACCTTTTCTCCAAACTCATCAACAAAAAATCTGGCCGAAGTGCAAGATAAGATGGAGCACATCCGGCTTCATTTACCAAGAACTCTATCTTCCTCTGCAAACTCTTTAACGATAATCCCAGAAGCGTAGGAGCCTTTCTGAATGCAGCAAGGAAATCATCCTCGGACCACCCGAAGCCCTTGAAGAACTCCGAGCGAGCCTTGAAGTTCTTCTCGGAGACCGTCTGGAGCATACTCACGGCCGCGAGGAACATCCCTGAGGTGCGAGGTACTCCCAAACCCTCGACACGACTGATTAACGCCTTCAGGGTTTCAGCATTCCCAGTTATGAGGAAGGGGCGGTACCGTAGGATCACTGAGAGCTTCTGATCCGTGATCCCGCAATCCCTTAGAATTTCAATGTTAGGCTGGATCCTCTTCTCGATGCTATACCCGAGAAACCACCTGTGTCTCGTGCATACCTTCACCAGTAAGTCGTTGGACCCGAGGAGGCCTTGCAATAATTGGATCTTGGACAAGATGGTCTGGGATTTGTAGCTGATGGCGTAGTTATTCGATATGACGAGGTGGGTGATGTCGGAGCAGGAGAAGCCCAGATCCTGCAAAGCTCGGAACTTTGGGGCCAGGGTCTTCTCCACGTCGAGGAGAAGCCACCGGGGGTTTGCAGATATGACCTTTTTCACCTGGGTGTTGTCAAAACCGTAGCTTTTAAATAAGCCAAGGACGGAGTCAGGCTGGTGGCGGGATTCGACGCGGCCAAGGAGCTTCGAGGCTTTGGCCGCCTGATCAGGATCAAAGCCACAGGAGCTGACCAGGTATTCAGCCATAAGGCTGCTCCGTGGAGCACCGGAGGCGGCGGAGTAAGAATGGGTTGCGAGAAAAAGGTCAGCATCGGCCGGACGACAGCAAGGGACGAAGGCAAGGGCTTTGGACAAGAGAGAGACGTAGGGCGACCTATTCATCAATGTCATCGTCTTCTTCTTCTTCTTCTTCTTCTTCTTCTTCTTTGTAGGTTCCTTCTCTTTACCAAAACCTAGCGAAGGTGGCGTAGCTGCGTATAGAGGAGCGCGATTAGGCCGGAAGTACCTGCGTCTTAAACCCTAGAAGTGCGTTACCGTGTTCGAGATTTTTTTTTCTGGCGGAGATTACTGCGACCGCAGGCGTCTTATTTTTCTTCGTCAACTTTTAGTTTGTTGAGGGGAGAAAAAACTTTTATTGCGTGCCAACTAAAGATAATAAAAGGTGTTCTTTTAGAAAAAAATTGCACTATTATTTTTTTTATCTAGGGTTTATTTTTTATAGTTAGAACAAAAATATACCCTTAATCTTCTATTAAAATCAGCTATTAAAAATTTGATAATTAATTATCAAAAATTTTAAAAAATATAAAAAGCTATGCTAATCATTTTAAAATCAATATATATGCATCGAAGATGATTAATATCTATTTTTTATTTTAAAAACTTTATAATTAATTTTCAAATAATAATTTATTTAAATAATATCTATGATTAAGTCACATAAGTTAAAAATATAAGAGTGTTTTTTGTCTAAATAAAAAATACCTAAGTAAAAATGAATATGGAGGGTTTTATCGATAAGAAAACTAATACTATAAATTTTTTTTTTATAAAAGACCCAACAGACATGAATGAATGCTAGAAAGCAACTTATTCATCATAAAATTTGAAGGATTAATACATATGCTATTCTAATTATCAAGTTAAAGTCGACGATAAAAAATTCATGTAATCTTTAATGTCATCATAACCATCAACTATTTATGATGTGAAGGGCAAAACTGTTCATTGTTCAATTAAGAATCTACTTAATAGCTTTTCATTAGATAGGGAACAGATAGAGACTCGTAAACATGTCAACTATCTTGCTACAAACATACGCTATCTATGAAACAAAGCCTAAGGCAACTTCTATCTAAAAATTAATAATAATTAGATGATCATGTTCACACTAAAAATAGAAAGTCATTCTTCCTACAATCATTAACTTATTATATCCGTACCAAGATTAAGAAAGTGTATCGTGATGATTACCTTTGATTCAGAATCCATTATATTTGATTTAACATATTGACAAGTATTGTAATTGGTATATATATCCTTCGACAGAATCAAATAGTTCGAGTAATAAATCTCACCTTTATAAAGGCTAATTCTCACTCTTTATCATTTTTCAATATCGAAGAATTATTCTGTCAGTTTAAGGGATTTATACTTGATCTAGCTAGCTCTTTATGCAAAGTAACTCAAAATCTCTTTTCAATTTGTCATCTCAAAATTATTAGAATACATGACTCTTTATAATTGAATAAGATATATAATAAAATTAATTAGATTTTGATGACAACTATTAGTCAATAGAAAGGAATATCAAAATATATGTCAAGTGAGAGAATATCTTATAAATTAATAGGCTAAGTGAGAGAATATCAAATATGTGACCTTTTATAATTGAATAAGATATATAACAAAACTGATTAGATTCTGATAACAGATATTAGCCAATAGAAAGAAAGTTTATATTATAGTAGGATTCCTTAGGGGGTGCCCTTGATGGGAGGAACTCTCCTAATTATTTATCATAGACTCTTTACTCTCGCCTATAAATAGATAGGACCTCATAGGGACTAATGACATGATGTTTATGTGATGTAACGGTCATGAACACATACACGAGATACGATAGGTAACATTGAGAGATTACGGTTCCTTTCTCATCCTCTCTTGTCTCTGAACTATTAATAACTATAGTCTTGTGAAAAGGTAGAAAGAGATGAGGAGTGTTTAGTTGTTCTTGTAGATCGACATTTGATCTAAACGATTTTGCCCCACACAAACTCATCAGCCACTAAGGCCAACACCTATGGAGAGTTTCAGGTCACCAGCTCCAAAATGGTACCATAGTGCCGACAACCACCCTACTTTATTAAGATCAAAGAATGATCAGGTGATTCACCAAATCTTATCTAAGGCCAGCTAGTAAAAGGCCTAGGGATCAAGTATAAAAAGAAACTCATTAACTCATGCTGAGAGGGGGGACTCTCTATACACTAACCTAGTCATATAACTTACACTACTATCTTTCCCCTTTCGCTGACTTAAGCATCGGAAGGAATGCGTTGGGCAACCCCTAATGCTGGCCTATCATGCAAGATTGCTGATGGTCAAGAGATGACATCACTATTAGGATGTAACTATGCAACCATGAGACAATCCATCATTCGAGGACATATAGATGACCCAACCCCAGGGAAGAACATCGCAACCAAGAAGACTCCAAACCTCCTACCCGATCATCCCGAATCGGATCCTCGCCAATAGAATGACATTTGATCGGACCGCCTATGCTGTCTCACTCATCAGTTAAGAAAATGCACTTAGGTAAACTTGCACCTTCGATAGTGGATCAATCAATTATCAGTCAACGGTACTCATGACACCATCAATATCCTTACAATATTCGAATCCGAGGACGGGGATCCTACATATATAGATAATTTTTCAGATAACTTTGAAAGGTATCTAATATAAATCTAATATATGTTATTTGATTTCAATCCCGATATTAAAATTAATATATAGCATATAATATATTTTATGCTTGGAACTTGCTAAGTGCCATCTTTCCCTCTTCTTTCTACCCTTTACATCTCTCTGCAATAATAATTGTTACACTCCAAAAGTTAACTGCAAACGAAGAAAAAGATCAAATGGAACAAAAGACCACTCTTGGGACTTTGCCCTGTTTCTATGTTGTCCCAAAAAGCCAGGCACCTTAAAAGCTTTTTCTTTGTCTCTGGAATAGCTAAACATGGCCAAATTAAGTTAAGATTTTGGCAGCAGAGAAGAGTGGAACATAACTAAAACTAAAGCAAAACCAAGTGAAGAATTGGTAAATGAGTACTTATATTTTACCTTAATTCAAAGTACCGATGCGGAACCCATATCTTGCCAATGAATTAGGATGAATTCAACCTCGGTTGTAAAGTAAAAGAGGAGGTAAAAGAATGGAAGCCAGCCATGGCCTTTTGTAGAGGAGACGATCAGATGAATCCTTGTGAGCTAGGAGATTGGAGGTGAGGTAAGCCAACACCATCATCCACATACCCAATAATTGTACTAATATTAGATAAGATTCCAAGAGAAACTCACATACAGATAAATCCATCCAGTAGATAACAAGAATTTGAAGCTCTTGTTGTGTGTGTGATCTCTAGTGTGTTGTTTGATCTAAGTGGAGCAAGATAAAAGACACGAGATGGATGCGTTGATATATCATGAAGAAAGTTCCAAATAAGTTCCCATGATTTTCCCTTAGATTATTGAGGAATTACAGGTTGCAGACAAAACAAGAACCTTTTGGAGTTCTTCATACCTACACAATATCTTGTGACAGACAACTCTTTTAAGATCTTTGGCTATTTGCATTTAATAGAGTTAAGTTCGAAAGGTAAGTACTGCACAGACAAAGGATCATCAGTGCACTTCGTTAACCCAAGAAGCCTGACTGAGTTGTACTCATGTAAAGACTGATCATAAAGTTAGCATTCTAAACCGTGCACTGAGATGGAGCATTGTGGTGATGAGATTAAACTGACCAGCACAGAATAAAAAGAGCAAAGTTTTAGTTTTTATAGTGAAAATGATGGAATGGGTGCTAATAACTTGTGAAATGTGTATGCTTTGATATGCATTTGATGGAGTTGTGTGCATGCATCAAAACCAAATTTCAGTTGTCAGATATCATTACTGATTTGCTAGTAATTAGCTCCACAAATTGTTATACCAGCTTGGGAAAAGAATTTGTCCATGTCATACCATGTTGGAACAATAAACACCATGATCTTATGAAAGAAAAGTACTCGTACTTTATTCCTATGTGGAAGGTCTCATGAAAAATTTGAACGATTTTCTGAAAAAACTTCACATTTTGCTTTTTGAAAAAATTATAAATATTTTTTCTTTTTTCTTTTTTCCAACATGAGCATATTGATCACTAGTCTAAATAGATAGATTTGATCATTAAAGGTTGGGAGTCCATTTAGATAATTTATAATATTTTCAAGTAGATTATATAGTATTTTTGTTGTGATGATCGAAACATTATAAGAGGTTAAATTTTTATCCCTATTTGGATGATATTACTTCTAAACTATTATAAATACTTATGAAACCTAGTATGATATATCAAATGATTTTTAGTATATTTGGATTTTGTTTGACTTACTTTCATTGTTTTCTAATAACATTATAGTATTTTTATTGAGATTATGTAGTGAAAAACACTACAAATGATATGATTATGATGTATCTTTAGTTATCGTAGCTTATAGATCATTATGATATCAGATTTTTAGGCTTGTTATTAGGTTGATTGAGGTTAGGAGTTTATTTGGATCATTTACTGTATGCTTTACAATATTTTTCTTATGATGGGTAATAAAAACACTATAATAAACTAATTTTTTACTCTTATTTGGATGATATTATTGTTAAATTATTTTAAATATATGATATATCAAATGGTTTGTAGTATGTTTGGATTTCTCAGTTATAGTATTTTTAAATAACATTATAGTGTTTTTATAAGGTGTAAAGCAATTGAAAAATCTTTGATTATCGTTGATCGTAGATGTGTAGTTGGTTTGACTGCGTTAGGAGTCTATTCGGGTTATTTATAATATTTTTATTATGATGATCAAAATATTATAAAAATTAATTTTTGATTCTTATTTTGATGATCAAACTACTGTGTAAATCATATGAATCAGATCATTCATGCTACTGTACAAACCAATCCATCAACTTGGATTCACACAACTATAGATCGATCTATAAGGTATCTATGAAACTAGTGAAAAAAATATCATTGAGGCTGGTAATAGATACTTTCGGTGTCATTCAAAATAGAAGGGAGAAACGTGAGACATCATTTAGGAAATAAATAATAATAAAAGTGAGCCTTCTTCCCGAAATCGCCTGAAAACTTTTGCTGACTAACGAATTCCTTGTTTTGTGTGCTGTGTTAGTAGGGTTTTTTAGACTTGCAGCATCAGAGAGTTCCTCTCCTCCCAACTCCTGTTTACCTAACAATGAGCATGAATATATATATGCCTATGACCAAAAATTCCATTTGGTGTCTGCAAAATATGGCTGCAGACACTAAATCTGTTGAAGAAATGAATGCCATTTGCCCTTCACTTGCATCTCATAGGAACAAAAGAAGGGGAAAAGAATCCGGGAATAAAATCTAGTTAGCTAGAATTTGGTTGCTTTCATCTCCAGAATCTCTCTTCTTATTTTTTTCTTAAAGATCAGTAGATTCAATATAGAAGGCATTACAGTTTTCTTCCTTTCTTTTCTTTTGGAAAAACCAAAGGATGGTGAGAATCTGCACATTTTGGTTATATATATTCACAACGACGATGAGAATAAGAACAATGAAATGAAAGCAGAAAGGACCAACATAGACCAATATCTATGTTTTCAGAAATAACAACTGATAAGTCGTCAAATGAACACCTGTGCTGTCAATCAGCCTTTAAAGTTTAAATTCCACATCATACTTCACCTGATCACCATCAATATGGTGGAAACAAATTTAAAAGAAAGTTCAGTTTGATATGATGTAAAACAAGATATCTCATTCTTGGTTTGATCCGATTACAAAAAGTTATGCTCAGATCTATATCATTTCTTAGTCTAAAGTATGTTAGAACACACAACAATAACAATAATAGCAAGCCATAATGTTTCAACAATTTGGGGGGTTGAAAGGTATACTACTCAAATATCCCTCGCTTCTAAATCTTGTGAGTTAAGCAGTCTCTAAGTTGAATTCATACTTCCAGCTAAGTTTCCCAATTTGTAGTACACATGCAGTTTGAATTTGACTCTTGCTCTATAATCCATTTTGTCTTCTAAAAGATCAAAATGATAGGACAATTTGGAGTGCACATTACAGTTAAAATTAGATTGTAAGAACTGTCTCCAAATCATTACACACAGGTTTCATTACCAGGAAATGATATGAAGAAAAAAAGAGAGCAGATTCAACATCTCACCTATTAGAAATCTTAAATATGGGAAGCAGGGATGATACCGCATTACCAACAAAACCTGATAATAACGAGAAAAAATAAATTGATCTTCTTGTTTAGCGAGCAATTTTAGAGGGCATAAAAACCTAGAACATATATAGTTCTACAAGTTGAAAGGATCTCAGTCCTTTTAGAGACAAAATCCCCCACAAAAAGTATCAAGCCTTCCAAAGAGCATCAGTCTTTTCCTACTGGAAGAACCTGGCCCTATCCAGCAGCTAGTTCTGAGGCGGTACAGTACATGTATAATTCTTCGCTGATAATGAGTCAAGCCTTTGTTAGGAAAACATCCCTACGATCATCAACATGCGATAGGGTGCAAGTCATCTAAAACTTCTCTTGATCACGATAACTCAACAAGAGTATGCAGTGCTTCAGTTTAATTTGACCAAGTACCTACCTGCCAGAGACACTGTTGTTAATTCAACAAGGCCAATAATGTATGAATACCTAAGAAAAAGCACAAAGCAAAAGAATGGAACTACGACACATACAACATTTACCGGAGATTAGCATGCTACAATACCTCAGGGAAGATTATTTTGATGTATTCATCCAGAGACAATAATACAAGAAAGACTTAAGAAAAAGAACACACCAAAAGATTAAAAATCAGACGTATGGCTGAGACCAACAGAATAGCATATATAAGAATCTGGAGAACTAAGGACTGGAATCAAATTCGAGATTACATGTTGCTATTAGGCAATAAATTTATAGATGCTCTATTGTCACATTGAAGCACAAGTTTGTAACATAAAAACAACCTGCATAATTTGACATATTAACTAGACTTCCAGATCACCTTTTTGTTTTATAGCTATTAGAGCTTTGACAAAAATAAGACACCGAACAAAGGATGCAAAAGAAACATATAGTAGCAAAAGCCAAAAAAGTTGAAATGTGGATTTTCATAGTACATAAACCAGTATAACTACATATCATGAATATAACCAAAGATTCTAACAGTTAGAAATATCTTGACTTGAGTCTGACTGTGGGTAAAATACATTTCAGGGAGGCTGAAATTGGTGTCATCTGACAGCGGACAAAATACATTTTGGGAAGGGAGAAATTGGCCTACAAGAAGTCAGCAAGTCTCATTTCTCTTTCATTACCTGAAGACTGGCAATGGTTGAATTCTCCCTAGCAAAGTAACTCCTAGAATTATATTTCCTTTTCCAATTTGTTCAACATATCCTTACAAATGTAATCAAACTAGCATACCGCAGATGCCAACCTCTGGAAGGTAACACATACTAAAAGAGCAATTTCCAAGAACATTGTTAATCCACTTCTTTTGCACCAAACACTCTGCAAATGGAGCTAACACCCCAAGTAGTTTTTTTATTGATAAGAACAATTTATGCTCGATACAACACAACCTTTGGACAGTAACACCTACTAAAATAGCAATTTCCAAGATCACTGCTAATCCACTTCTTTTGCACCAAACACTCTGTAAATGGAGCTAACAATCAAGAACTTTTGATTGATAAGAACATTTTATACACTAAACACTAAATACGACCCAACCCATAAAATGAGAGGATCACACCCTCCGTAAACTTATGATCCAGACATCTGTTACGCACAGAGCACAATAATAATATTCATTGACAATAATTGAAAATGCATCCCATCAAGTCTCATCATTATTACTGGAGTAAACATCTAACTATACTTTTATTAAATATCAGATAACAATCTTCACCTTGCTAGAACCGAACACTTCTCAATCCTTAGCTCCCCAGCTACGGATCATCTGAAATATGTAATTTTCACATCGATAGGGATTATCTTAGTAGAAACAAGATGTCAAGAAATCGAGTTGTCTCATGCAATCAGCTAAAGATAAGAATAATAATGAAAAACGAGCATAAATTAGAATAAAAGATCTCACAAATTCATCATGAGAAAAGCACATCCATCAGTGCACTTTGCTGCATCGGAACTCGTCCGACTGCTCAGGATGAAGCAACCCCCTTATAGACTAAATTCATATCACATTCCCTGCTATTAGTCCGTTACTAGGATCAAGTGGTGCCCGGAAACAGTAGAAATACATCTTTCTATAGATGCAAGGAATATCTTATAAGCATGTTTGACGACTACTAGTCCCTTTCAAAATTGCCTACTAATAATGACAATGTTGTTCAATCATCCATATATGTATATATCAACATGCTGCACAGCCATGCAACAACATCCTTTCACATGCTCAAGCGTCCAACTTATGCATTATGACACTTCTAACAAATATTAATATGCGTCAATTATAGGCTACAATAGATGCATCAATATAAAATTGATTGCCAAAAGAAATATGAACTAATAACAGCATATTAAAATTTCATCATGTCAGCATAAAGAGAATCTAGGTTTTATGAGGCACCTAACACTATATTGATCATCCAAATTGGATTCAGAGTCCAAAAATGTTATTATCGATTTACTTCATTACATTGCAAACCAGTCCCTAGCAGTCTTAATGGGCAGGACCTTAGGCAGCCGCGTGGAGCTTGGTCGCTCAGGCCGGACCACATGGAGTTGGCCTGTCTGAACTGAAGTGCATAAAGTTTAGACCACCCCCGTATTCAAATGCTTAAATTGGCAAAGGACAACTTGTATATTCCAGCACTTCAATTGAAAATCACCAAAGCATCCTACCATACCATCCAAAAGAATCCTACTTCTTATCATTTGAAAAATTAACCAAAACTCGAAACCTAAATTACCAAATATCCATAGTTAAATCAATTCAAAACTTCAGGTGTCCAATAACCTACATAAGTCTGATATCTTCCGGTAGACTTAAAACGAATGGGACAAGAATAACAATTCCATGCGGCGTCTACACAAGTGATTATCAACAAGCAATTAACTCTATCGGCAATACCATCACAAATCTTCTCGACATTCTTCATTTTCTTACTACATCCAAACTCATCTTACATTCACAGAAAACGAAGTAAATGGCAGGAATTATTTGGTTGCAAACTGTAGATCATGTTATGCAGATAGTGGAAAATTGGAACCTGGAAACATATCTTGCTGGTACAAAAGCTTGTGCTATGCATTATGCATTTCCACGATCAAAGTGCAGTTCTGTTTTTGGGGGCTACATTATACAACTCAATGAGTTCTGGATACTCCTTGTAGCAGTTGACGAACTTCTCCAGAAATTTCTTCTCTGGATATATCATGTATGTAGCCATACTAAGGTTACTGATGCAAACTCCCCTAGACTTCAGGCCTGTCACGATCCGATGCCTTGGCATCAACTTTTTCTCCAAACTCATCAACAAACAATATGGCCGAAGTGCAAGATAAGATGGAGAACATCCAGCTTCATTTACCAAGAACTCCATCTTCCTCTGCAAACTCTTTAAAGAAACTCCCACAAGCGTAGGAGCCTTTCTGAATGCAGCAAGGAAATCATCCTCGGACCACCCAAAGCCCTTGAAGAACTCCAAGTGAGCCGTGAAATTCTTCTTGCTGACGCTGTGGAGCACCTTGAGAGTCTGGATGGACGTCCCCGAGGCACAAGCTACTCCCAAATTCTCGTCATCCCTGATTAACGCCTTCAGGACTTCAGCCTTCTGGATTATGAGGCGAGGGTGGCGCCGTAGGATCGTTGAGAGCTTCTGATCCGTGATCCCGCAATCCCTTAGAATCTCAATGTTAGGCTGGATCCTCTTCTCGATGCTAAACCCGAGAAACCACCTGTTACTCTTGCACAACTTCACAAAAAAGTCGTTGGACCCAAGGAGGCCTTGCAATAATTGGATCTTGGACACGAGGGTCTGGGTTTTGTGGCCGATGACGTGTTTATTCGATCCGACGAGGTGGGTGATGTCGGAGCAGGAGAAGCCCAGATCCTGCAAAGCTCGAAACTTTGGGGCCAGGGTCCTCTCCACGTCGAGGAGAAGAGACCGGGGGTTTGCAGATATGACCTTTTTCACCTGGGTGTTGTCAAAACCGTAGCTTTTAAAGAAGCCAAGGACGGAGTCAGGCTGGTGGCGGGATTCGACGCGGCCGAGGAGCTTCGAGGCCTTGGCCGCCTGATCAGGATCGAAGCCACAGGTGCTGACCAGGTATTCAGCCATAAAGCTGCTCTGTGGAGCACCGGAGGCGGCGGAGTAAGAATGGGTTGCGAGAAAAACGGCAGCATCGGCCAGATGACAGCAAGGGACGAAGGCAAGGGCTTTGGGTAAGAGAGAGAAGTAGGGCGACCTATTCATCAATGCCATCTTCTTCTTCTTCTTCTTCTTCTTCTTCTTCTTTGTAGGTTCCTTCTCTTCAGCAAAACCTTGCGAAGGTGGCGTAGCT